TAAGATGTATTTACGTCACTTCCTATTAAAGAATCGACCAATCACTAACACTACTAAGATGTATTTACGTCACTTCCTATTCGAGAATTGACCAATCACTAGTACTACTGAGACGCATTTGCGTAACTTCCTGCTAAGAAATCGACCAATCACTAACATGTAATATGTTATTACGCTTACTTCCTGTTAAAGAATTAGCCAATCAYTATTCTTCACTAGCACCACTGAGATGCATTTACGTCACGATCGTTAAAGCAAAACAATGCGCAAAGCATCATGGGATTTTTGCGGAAAATGTACCCTAACACAAAGTTTATAATCACAAAAAGAACTGAGAAGCATTTACGTCACAAACGCTTAAAGCAAAGAATAATGGAATGTGTTTGTGAAAGAAAAACATGGCGCATCTTGAGGACCTAAAGCTCATGGTATATTACGCAATATGTGCGTTTGAGGTAATCGGAGCAGGTTTAGAATACCCCGCAAATGATATGCAGTTGTCGGAACACTTTGTAGGACGACGCATACAACAATAGAGGTCATGGTCATTAAGTATGTGCATATGATTTGCGGGGTGTTCTATTTACTCACTTTCACAGGGAGCTGCAGTTACTTGCTTGTCACGCAGCGGAAAACTCTCGACGCGCGAGTTTAAGTTAGTAACAGACCTTTTTAGCGAAAACTTTTTGACAAACATGTAAAATATTTAGACATGAAAGAATCAGTTCCAAAGAGTGGCATCACATGGTCTGAAATGTGCACAACAAACGACGAAGCTAAATAGGTCTATTGTGCTCAAACCTGACAGTAAACATGTAATATGGAATAAGTGTTGAACTAATAAAATAAGATATTGGTCTTCACCCCTACCCCCACAGGTTATTTACCGGTGGTCCACGCATTCCTTGGATACCTTGAACACCAGGTGGTCCCACTGGTCCCTAAGAAAATAGATTATAATTATGCTTATTACTTCTGAAGACTGTGAAAATCCATGTCGGATCTTGGTTTATCTTTCGAGAAGCTAGCATTTTGGGCCAAAGCGAGTATCTCTAATGTAATATAATTTATACAGCACAGCTGACTTCACAATACCAGCTTTACAATGTATACAACAGGTGCATGTTGCGTCATAGTCGCCATCTTGGTTGGCAATAACAAAGCATTCCTCATTAGCTTCTCTTGTTATTCATATCTCTATGGATTTTGAGTCACATGGTTGCACACACTCTATAGACCGAGTCACAATAGATATGACAAAAGACCAGCATAAATTATATTACACTGGAGATAACCCGTATCTTGTTTTATCGTCAACAAAAGATTATGAACTGTCAACGTTCTTCTAGGTTTCTGATTTCGTTTTGATTATGATGAATGCGGGACGAAAAGATCCAACTAGGCATCATATTTTCCATTTCAGAACTTGTGTCATTCTCTTGAAAATAAGATTCTTTGTTTGCATTGTATATTCATGTGTCTTCGCCTGCACAAACGTTAAACAAAGAAAGGATGCTCTAGGGAATGACGCGTGGTCTGAAAAGGAAAAACAGTGATTAAGTCTATTGTTGTCACTTACCGGAGCACCTGCAGGACCCGGTGGTCCACGTTCACCTCGAGCTCCCTATGTAAGAGAAGAAGTATTAATAAGTAGGAAAGAGTAGGAAAGTATAAGAGATAAAAAAGCATGACGACAGCGCAAGATTCGACAACCTTCAGGTTAAGCTAATTCCGTAAAACTGTGGAAGAAACTTCGGGGTTGGTCAAACCATAGTTAATTGCGTGGAATGGCTAGAAAACCCTTTTGTTATAGGTCTTTGTTCACTTTTTTCAAGCGTGACCGTGCACAATCCTTTGTTTTACCATTGTTGGCAATGGCTGAGTGATTAGACCAAAACCTTTATTTTGGCTGCTAGTTCAAAATACTTAAAACGATTTATAAGAGATATTTGAATACTCCTTACAACAATCCCATAGACAAAGTTTATGTTTACTTATTTTGCAATTTCGGATGAGCATAAATCAAACATTGTGCATGGTCAAGACCGGTTCAACATCAAAAGCGAACAAAGACCTGATAACAATAGGTTTCCTAACCATTCCCCTCTATTAACTATGGCCAAACGTCGCGCTTCACAAAAGGCGTACGCATTGAAACCAACAGATAAAATAAGGCGTTGTTTACTTATTTTGCAATTTCGGATGAGCATAAATCAAACATTGTGCACGGTCGAGACCGGTTCAACATCAAAAGGGAACAAAGACCTGATACTTATAGGTTTCCTAACCATTCCCCTCTATTAACTATGGTCAAACGTCGCGCTTCACAAAAGGCGTACGCATTGAAACCAACAGATAAAATAAGGCGTTGTTGTTTTATATCATTTGGTTCGACTCTGGGTCCAATTTCTATTACAGTGCATTGTGGGTATCAAGGGACGAAATAGCTGCCATCTTGAAAATATATCTCCAAAGAGTCCCACAATGCACTGAATGCAAACGCGACCCAGTTTTTAAATCAACCTCGGAACGGCTGAGGTTCTGATGTGCCGTGCCGTGCCGTGACCGTCAAATTGAGATGCTGGTAGCATTTCAGTATCCAAGCGTTTTTGGTTTGCCAATAATTTAGCACACTGAAATGGGTTCAACGGGTCTTCGTATATGCAGAATGTGAATCAGAATGTGCTTGTTACGCGCTGGGATTTTTTTACATGCATAGAAAGGCGACCTGGCAAACACAGAAAAGACTAACACTCTCTTTGTCAGGACTACAGGCTTGAACAAAAAAAGAAGAAAATATTTGACCAAAAAAAAAAAAATTTTTCCCCCCATTAAAAATATTATCTAAATCAACTTACCCCCCTCCCCACAGTGCAATGTTGGTTCAATAGGTAGCACCGCTTCCTCTCTCGACATTTGTTTTGGGGGGAGGGGGGTCGTTGTAAATGTGTTTTACAACAAGATATCCTTACGTACTATAAAATTTTGAACTATTTTGCCCAAGATTGTAGCTACAATCGACGATTAAAGAGTTAAAAAAAGAAGATAAAAAAGTCGTGTTTTTACTTACCACTGTACCACGTGATCCTGGTGGTCCCTTTGGACCTGATTCTCCTTGGGGTCCCTGTGGTAAGAGGGTCAAAATAAAGTCATGAATAAAGCAATAAACTATTACAGTCTTGTTGTGTCTATACGCACCCGTTCTCCAGGTAATCCGGCAGGACCAGGTTCTCCACGCTCTCCCTGGAAATAATAACAATTAATAATAATAATAATAACAATAACAACAACAACAACAATAATAATAATAATAACAATAATAATAATAATAATAATAATAACAATAATAATAATAATAATAACAACAACAACAATAAAAATAATAATAATAATAACAATAATAATAATAATAATAACAATAGTAATGATAATAATAATAATAACATAACAACAACAACACCAACAACAATAATAATAACAATAATAATGATAATAATAATAATGATATAAGTGGGGTCCCTGTTACTCCTAAAGGAATTGAACTCATGGTACTTAGGCGCTGGGATTGACCTCATTTTGGGCTGGGAGAGGATGGAAAAACGGGATGAGGGTTATTGGGAATGGAAACCCCATAAATGGTAATGGAATGTAAAAATAATTGATTTTTAGTCTGATGCCAAAATAATAAAAAAACAAAAGGAAAACTTAGAAATGCTCTTTTTAATAATTATTCTGAATCACCAAGTGTGTCGCACAGCGGTAATCCACTCCAAGTATACGTGTATGGTTCTAAATGGTTTCAATGGTAGTTTCCAGGCTGAGCGCATCTTTTGGTCAGCGGCTTGTCATGTAAACATGATAAAAACACGGACTGGGATTTTGCCAAATTTTCAGCTGGGAACTGGGATTCAGATCCCCCTCCAGGGCCCTCTTGTAAACTTCTATTGCGCCTGAAAGGGCACCCCTTCAAGCACGACAATGCAAACACCTCTAACCGTTTTAGAGTAAAGTTACTAAACCCGTGAAATTGTTGACTCGTTTGGTGCCATCGCTCCTTTTATTAGTTAAAAGGCGATTTAAAACTGTTCTAGAAACGTACCCTTTCTCCTAATTCTCCCTTTTCTCCATTGTCACCTCTTGCGCCAGGCGCACCCTATGGAAACAAGAAGAAAATAGTTTACTTTAGTTTCATTTATGGTATAAGTAAATAATATTACTACGATAACAGGGCCTCATGTGAAAGAGCGCACTTTACCTCCTCAGACTATCAGTACTCCTTATTACGGGTATAGACCTCCTCGGGTCGAGCGTAATATTTTCCACTTCAGACCACCTGTCATTCCCTAGATTATCATTTCTTTGTTTAACGGTTGCACATGAGAAGACACATGAATATGGATACAACTCAAACAAATCTTATTCTCAAGGGAATAACACGTGGTCTGGAATGGGAAAACATTACGTCCGAGCAGAGGAGGTCTATTTAGGCCCCGTCCACACGTATCCGCAATCTTTTTTTACGGATACGGGTTGCGTCCACACGTGTCCGGAAAGGTTTGTGTCCGTATCCCCAAATTTTACGAAAACGGATACGTGTGGACGGTGAAAACGATTCGAATATGCTGCGTGTGGACGCAAACATTTTCGTATCCGCAAAAAATAATTTGCGGATACAAAAATTTCCGGATACGTGTGGACGGGGCCTTAAAGCTACATAGAACAAACATAGGTGCAAACAGACGTGGAGATCCTGAGGATCGAGCCGTGGACCTCTAGCTCTGAAGGCCGCGCACTAACCAACTGAGCTACGCCTGTTCCTAAAGTAGTTGACTGTGCTAGGCTCGGAGAAGCAGTCCTCTCGTCCGAATCATAAGAATGCGTCTGAGAGAATTGCTAACGACATAATTTTTGGAAGTATATATATTTCTGGACATGTTTGAATCAGAAGGACAAACCAATGATTGGTCGTGGGTGATGTCAAATGACGCAAGACATGTTTTAGCCAATCATCAGATCCTAATTTTATATGTTATTTACCCGTGGTCCTTTGTGGCCTGGAAGACCAGGAATACCATCAAGACCTCGATCACCCTAAAGAACAAAAATGAATTAATTAACAATGGAATAAACTTTGTACTGTGATACAACCACGATAGTCACCCAATCAGCGTGTGGGTTATATCTAAAATTATATTTATTTCATACTTTGAAGCTAAGCTTCAAATGGATACAAAAAAATGATCAACTACAACATATTACGATTTGAGCTTATCTAGCAACGGATGCTGTATTATGTGCATTGAAAACGAAATATTACTAAACGAAAAAACCGTTCTCACAAAACCCGCGCAATTTCGTGAAACGACGAAATCCTTCATCGAAATAATGCAAAAATTGCAAATCGAGAGGAAAAGGGACAATACAAAATTGCGCAATAAGCGAAAGCTAGTAACAAGTAAAAGGCGCAACGAGATGAGATTTAGTTGCGCAGGTAAGAATCGAAACAATGCAACAAGAAATGCGCAATTAGGTATCTTCACAAAACGACGCAAGAGGGCAAACTCGCGCAACGAGACGAAACAAAACTGCTTTTAATTTTGTGCTGAAAACAATACATTGATATCCTTAAAATCCGCAAATACGAATCTAAATTAGGAACTATTAATGCTACTTAGTTATTGACTGTTTTCTCACCTTAGGTCCAGGTGCCCCAGCAGCTCCTCTTAGCCCATCATTACCGGGAGGACCCTACGAAAATAATACAAGATACTTTGTTAGTGGTTCATAAATGATACATAAAGCCAGGAGACTATATGTCCCTTATGGTCTTGATAGAGTCTATTGGGTATAAATTATTTATAACCAATGTTTTGACAGAGCAGTCAAATTCAGCTTAGGCTGGTTTAAATAGAGGCCTGTGCGTTTAGGCATATTTACACTGTGGTGTTCTTCGAGAGGATCAATGGTGTACCGGTTGGATTCTAGACTAAGTTCAGTTTTCTCAATCCTCTCTCTCTTTTCAAGCGTGGTCTAGGAGTAAAACGTTCGTTTTTCACCACTGTGAGGCCTACGGGTTGGGTCGTGGATTTGCCGGCCGTCCTGCGGACGCCACATGGGAATAGAATTTCCTTAATGTGTCGTTCTCTAGTTCCCACTAAAGGTTTTCTCCAGGTTCTCCGGATTTCCTTCCTCCAACAAAATGAGAGCTCAGTTGTGTGCTTAGAATATTAAATTTGTTGGTATACGGTTTTGTTCCCTCAGTTGTACGCATAGAATATTCAAACCCGTGTTGGTGCGTAGTGCATATAGTCGTCATACTAAAGTTGTTCGCCTATTATAAAGAGGACGAATTTAATTACCCTTTTGCCAGGAAGTCCTCTTGGTCCCCTCATACCAACTGGTCCTGCTGGTCCCTGGAATAATGACAATACGTCAACACTCTTAGTACTATTGGCCATGCAACCAGATAATAAGAACATAGATATTAATAATCAATAATACTTAATAATAAATAGGAGAATACTGACCACTTCACCTGGATCTCCCATGGTTCCCTTCTCTCCTGGAGGGCCAGGATTTCCCTGGATAAAAACAATTAAAATTTACAATTAGATGGAATTTCTTATAGAATTAAGCAAGAGAATATTAAGATAAAGTTCATAGAGCAGTTTGACTGTGAAAAGCTCACGGCACGAACACGAACGTGACACGGCAAGGAATACGCCAGACCAATCACATTGCACGAGAATTTGCTCTCCATCCAATCAAATGCCCGGAACACGGAATAAAGTCGGCGCAGACACGGTCACGCCAACATCTCGACTCTGCCAGACCAATCACATTGCGCGAGAAAACAATTCTAGAAAGCATCATCATCATCATCATTATCATGTCGAGTCTCCTCGGAAGTCATGGTGGACAAGCCATCACAGTCATGCGATAAGGGACCAGTCATAATTTAAGTCCGAGGGGG